TTACAAACTATAATAGAGAGAAAAGAGATCATTGGGGAAGCTGTGCTAACTAAAGGGCAAATTATGAATTACTATAATGTAGTTGCATTAAAATGTTAGACAAACTCATTAACTATTAATTTTAGTTGTATATGGTTTTAATGTATGTTATGGTATATGCAAACACACATGTATCTAGTCAGTCAGTAGTCTGCTTACTGTGTATGTACCTGTCAGTACTTCATGTTTCTATACATCTTTCCATCCATCCATCATCCATCCATCCATCCATCCATCTTCGACTACTTATCCACTTTCTTGAACCAGAGCAAAAACCAATAATATTTGAGCCCTTGAGTCTCACTTGTCCATCACAGAGTAACACGATAACACACAAAAAAACATTCACACTCACATTCACTCCTATGTTCAGACTGAACAATTTACCTAATTCCCAATTAACACATTTTATGGGAGGAAAACAGAATACTAGGGGAAAACCCAGGCACACAAGTCTAGAACAGAGCCAGAGCTCGAACAGTAATCTTCTTGCTGTAAGGCAACAGTACTCGCCGCCATGCTTGATAATCAAGCCATATTCAGCAATCTTGATTATCAAATACTGTCAATCAAGAAATTGATGAATTAAACATGCCTCCTCGTTCTTCTGCTCCTTAATCACGCACACAGCGGTTATCTTCAAATATTCCAAAATGTAATGTAAAAATATTTGATTTTACAGTATCCAAGAATGACCCTGGTGACTATTTCTTTCTAGAGAGAAAAATGTTAAAAAAAAAAAAAAACTCCATCCATCGCTCAGTCATAAAGTCGTAGTTTCTGCAAGACTGTGTGCCGCTGAGGCCAGAAGAATTTCTCACTTCAACAACATTCATTTGCTGTTGCCAAAAACAACAAACTGCAGCAATACATCAACTGACAATTTGAAAAACACACGAGGGATATGCCAACTAGCTTCAAAGCTAAAGTTAAAAAAAAAAGCTGCCCGCAACTAACTGCGAAAGATTCATTGAGCTTTTCACATGACTTCTACAGTAAAACTTTTATATTTTACAGCCAGAGTCGGCCAACGGTTTTAAAATGAGTGCAAAAAAGTTAATCCTCGTTTCCCTGATCTGAAGCTTGGTCTTTGTTCAGAAGACGTTGAGACAATCAGAGCAGCATGAATGTACATTTGGCCAAACACCAACAAGCGTGGGTGTCTTTTCCTGACAAAAACACTTTTTCACAGCCAAACAAAAAGATCGGCAGCCTCTTCAATTCGACATGAAATCACACTTTATCAGGATTACTGCTGTCACATGTTTTATTTCTTAATAAAAAAAAACAAAGTAAAAAGTAAAAAAAAATAAGAAAGTATGTGTTCCTCATGACTTGAATGCCACTGAGAAAATGTAGAGGCTTTCACATTTACTGAAAAGCTGCTTTGTTAAAGTTCCGCCATGGAGTGAGAAATGACTACATGTGTAGAAAGTCCAATGAATGAACAATAACAGACATTCAATGCTAATGTATGTACAACCGTCAGATATTCCATTGGTAGAGTACAGGTGATGTCCACCTCAACCATTCTGTTAGCGCAATGCTGTTTTCTGTTTTCCTCTAAATAGGAGTGTAATTTACCTAAAAACCACCAATGTCAATTGAAGAAAAAAAAAAGAACTTGACCTCTTGAGCAGAATGTCAAATCACATTAAAGGTCGGGTAAAAAGAACACACATTGGCCAGAAGACTTATTATATATTATTCACACAAAGTTTCTTACCAAAACAGCAAAGTAATTAAAAAAGGTTTGCTCACTCCCCCTCCCCCAGCACACCATTTATTCTTTCCCCCATTTAACAGCAATTAACTGCCTCTTAGAGGTAGATTACTGAGCCAACTGCTGGTTCGATTTCAGGTAAACATAACCAGAGACGTCATGGGCACTTGTAAAAAAAAAAAAAAAAAAGGAAAAAAGAAAGAAAAAAACAGACAGGGGGCAGTGTGCCAGTTGAGGAAACCATTATATTCATTCAATCCAGTATACCCGCCCCCCATAATATTTGGCTCTCCAAGTAAGACCAGTATCTCCAGTAAGACCAACATTAAAATAGAGGCCTGTCCTGTTCAGCTAAGCACAGTAAAATGGAGAAATAATTCCTTATAGGAACATTAGCCTTTTGATTAGCAATAGGAACACTCTACGTTGGACTACAGCACCACAACCGCTGTTTCAGTTGAATTTGCCATACACACAACACACAGACCAGACAGCTGGCTAGTCCATCAAAGACAGACAAAAAACAGACAAAAAACATTTACACTCATTCACAGCTATGGTCAATGTTGAGCGTGCAGTTAATACAGTCCTGCATGTTTTTGTACTAAAGTACCTGAGGGAACTCCCCACATGCACGCAGTAGGAACGTGCATAGCCAATCATCTTCCTCAAAGACGCTAACCACATCTTTCCGCTTGTGGCCAACGGGAATATTTAACAGCTGTACTTAAAAACCAAGTGACAATTAGATTAAAATTAGTAATCTGATTCCCATTAGCGATTTCAATGTGACTTAAGAGTTCCCTTGTACCACCGGTTGTATGTGTACCATAGTTTGAGAACCACTACTTTAAACCATTTGTTATGAAAATCCGAATCTACTATACGTTTAACTAACCACGTGAGCATGTTCTAATCGACACATGAAAAATGAAAGCATCAGTGGAGTCGGCCACTCCTGGACGGAGATGACACTTCCTTTTTCCATCTTCCCTTTTCTCTTAGGTTTCACACCTCACGACAAGGCTATGTGTTGTGTCAGTGAACACAGTAAATTATGTTCTCCAGCCGGTAACAGGCCCTCCACATACCGACACGACCCCCCTCCGAAGATGCATTCGGTCCCCTTAGACACAGATAAGACAGTAACGCCCTTTTCCCGCAAGCAGATGGGAAAACACGAACATGAGGATAATGAGCGTTTCATTCAAATGATATACAAATATATACATAGAATAACAGCACTCTGTTCGCCGGGTGGACCTTTCCTCCAGCTGGAGATGTTCACACAATGAAATGGCTCTGTAAGTGTCGGAATTCCAAGCGAATGTGTCGCACAGAAAAAACGCAGACCTCACGTTTTCAAACTCACCTCATGGGTGAAGAGCAGACATGGGCTCCATGGGAGTCAGAAGCCGAAATACAGTTGGGTTTGTACGAGAAAACAGCGTCTGCCTGTGCTCATTTCCCTGCTGTGGTGTCCTCCTCCTCTTCCACCACCTCCTCCTCCTCCTTCTTCTGCTGCTTCTCCTCCTCCTCCTGCAGCAGCAGTTCACTGTTTGGGGTAGAGGAGGAAAAGTGATGTCATTGTATGAAATTGCCTTACCCGCCCCATTTTTTCTTTCTTTTTTCTTCTCTGGTCAGAAACTGTCCCACGCTGCCAAACATAACTTCACTGTATACTTAAAAAGCAGTTAATGTTCTAGATCCTTCTTTTCAGTTTTAAATTAGCGATGCACATTTAAAGGGATAGTGTGGGGGGTGTGGATCTGCCTGAAGGAAAAGGGATATTTACAGAACAACTGGTCGATGTTGCACCGTAAAACAGCCCGACCAGAAACAAACAAGTGATGTTGTTTTTTTTTAATTCCTTCTGTATTAAACAGTAACCGTCACCAATGTGCTTAAATAGTTTTTCCTGACTGGAGTTCTCAAAATTAGTACAAAGTTCTTACCTCTGACGGACCTCAATGTTATTTACAATATTACTATGTTCCCTATTTTAGACCAAAAGCTAGAAACAAGCAAGTACACTTTAACGATATCAACCGGGCTAATAATTAGCTAACAAAACGTTAACTGTATTTTCGGCATAATATCGATTTTTTTTCGTCAAAAAAGTCTCTATTTTAACATTTTCTTTTGGATATTAAAATATCTACCTGATGGCAAGTGTGCTTGTCAAGGTATTTTTTCTTGTAAGTCTTGTTTTCTTCCTGCAAAGATTTCTTAAATTCCGTTTTTGAAGTGTGATTGCAATAGTCAGCACTCAATCAGTGTCTCTTTATAAGAACAGGAGCGTTAATCTTTTTTTTCTAATGTAAGCAAGGTCAGCGGAGAAACTGCCAGTCTTACACGTATTATACAGTGAATATGGACTGTATATAAGAAATGGATGAAGCCATCTGCTTCTACAAGTGAGGAAGTAGGTCATATGTTGCAGTGAACTAGCATAAGTGAGTCTGTATGGGGGAAAAAACAACTTCTTTTTCATTTTTTTATATATATTATGGCCCACACACTTGATTTGAATTGACTTCTTTAGAGAAACTTTTTATGTTGCCAGATTTAATGGGTTTTTTTAATTGATTCCAATGCAAATTTATTGAATTCTGTGAAAATAATTTGACTATTTCTGACATTGTTTCTGGTATGAACTTTAGTTTTGTCAGTTTTTATTTTAGTGCAAACCTTTGTTTGCAACAAAAGGCTATCTTGTTCAAGTTATTCTTTTAATTATTGTGTAATGCACGTTTTTTATACATATTTCTGGATACCTGATGTCTATTCTTGTCCTAACATTTAGCTATCCCTGCTCTTTAATCTACTAAGTTTCCATTTTTGGGAATTATTTATTTCCTAGACTTCAGTTCACATTTTATTAATTTAAAACTAAAAGTTTTAGCTATGCACTGTTGTTTTAGCTAACTTTAGACATTATTGAGATCAACCAGCAGTTTTTTTTTTTACACATAATCCCAATGAAAAAGCCAAAGGTAGCCTTCTATGTAAAAGCATGTGGAAAGTTAGGTGTATTTGTGACCAAGAGACAGGTGTTTCCAATCTTAACAAATTTAAAATATGAAGCAACTGATTAGGTACATTAGGTAATTTCACAAACACACAAAGATAAGTACATCCACATGTAAAAAAGAATCCTGAAGAGTGAAGTCAGTCTAGCGTCAGTCTCTGGATGAGGGTAACATCATAACAGAACATGGAGATTTTCATCAACAACTCAGTGCAAAATATTCAACGGTTTATTTTTTACATAGCTTCTCATGTGTCATGAACGAGACCTGGTTAGTTTCTTTATTAAATTCTGTCTTACACAGAAAATGAACACCAACTGGATTTAACTGTTACACATTATATTAGCTTTATTATGTGTCTGAAGAAGGAGGATATGGACTTAAAATGTCAACAGTACCAAATATTTGAATTGTTTAATTGACCTTATTAAAGTAACCCTGCAAGTTTGTTTTTTTTTTTTTTACAAAGTGTTACAGTACAAAAGATCCAATGACGTGGTTGTCTTTCTTGTATAATTACAAGGTTTGTCATCAGTACTTATTATACCGATTCCATATCTCCTTCTAAAATGGCCTGTTTTTCTTTCCTCTGTGTCAGTATTTAAATAACTACAGGGGTCACTCATTTTCTGTCTGATTCCCACACACAATTTAATGGCTGTTATCACAGACTGTATCATTAAGTCTGTTTTCGTGGGTGAGCTCTTTCATCTCGGCGCTTCGGCAGTTGCAGTGTCAAATTCTTGGAGTGAATTATCTGTTGCGTCTTCTTCACCTCCTACGACCTCTGACACCACCTAGGTGGAAAAACAGGAAGTTAGGAGGCGGCCAGAACCATTTATTGCTGCAGAGCGGCCATTTGAGTAAAAGGTGCAATTTTCTACCTAAAGAATGTTTTGGTCAGGTTTTCCATGCCTGACACATTACTTGGCTTGCAGTTCAAGTGTGAGCAGACAAAACGCTTTCTTTTAACACACTTCACCAAGTTGTTCTTGTAAGAAAGAAATGACATGTACAGAAGCATGGTGTTATGGGCCTACCACTGTAGTTCACATTAACAATTTTTTTTAGTTACAAGGCCAAATGTCACAAAATCTCAGTGTGGATTAGGTAGAGGGTAGTGACAACTTTGGTGTTATTAAAAAAAAGAAAAAAAAAGAAAAAGACATCTACTAGCCACAATCTCCTTCAAAATATAGAGTGATGACTTATCTAAAACCAAGGCAAAAGACACATCCTGCATTTCAAAGTGAATAGGATCAAAGCAAATTTAAGAATGAATACCCATAGTGGAAGTATGATCAGAAAATATGCATAAATGAGCATTTAAATATTGTTTAAATGAATAAATGAAACCGGTTTTTAAGAGGCTGCTTTCACTTAGTTCAGTATTTGACTTATTACACAACTATAAAACTATGATATTTATCTTTTTAAAGACAACTCGTCTCTCTGACAAAAAGAGTGACATTAAACTAAATTATGATGAATAACCTGGTCACCCATAATAGCATCCACGTCTTTCTCCGACAGCTCCTGTCCTGAGGCCTCCAGGTCAACTTGGTCTGGATCTTCTCCAGTCAGGATGTCCATTGGAGCCTCAGCAATGGCTCTGATGGTCTGGTCCTCCAAGGCCAGGGCTGTGTCAAACTGTAGAGGTGATGGAGGGCCCTGCATACCGTCCCCTTCCACATCCAGGTCCTGTGTATCAAGGATTTGAGACAACTTAAATGTTTGCAGCAAACCTCTCAGGAAAACAAAGTTGATGTTTACACCACAACTCACTGAGAAGAATCTTTAGTAAAAAAGATTGCAATGCAACTCGGGGTTCATCACAATTAAGTAGATAAGTTTCTATTCAGACGAAAAAAAACAAAGTACTACCGTCATTATTTATAAAGGCATTGTTCAAACTTTATATATCTACTATTTACAGATAAGACACAGAACATGACTCAGCGTGAGTGTGTTGACGTACATCACTGAACTCTAAGGGAAGACTCTCTGTGGGCTGAAGCTCTGCTGCACTCAGATACATGTCTTTGCTCGCCAACGTGAGCTGATCCTGTGGTGGAGCTTCCTGTTCAGGCTGGTACATGGGAGGGGGCAGGTTGAGGTGGAGAGGGCAGCGAGGATCTTCTGCCAGACCCATGTGGACAGTACGGTCACATGGGATGTCTTTAATGCCTGGACAGGTTTTGAAAAGCACTTGGTTGCCATCCTGATGGATATCTGAGAATCTGGCTGTCAAGAAGAACTTTGTGACAGATACACACAAATGCAAAAAACACAGAAGGTAACCAATGTACACCTAATACATAGTCTGAAACCTTGCACCATTCCTGAAGCCCTGCTTTTATTATAGTGCGGTCTTTAGAATAAATTTAGTTAAACCTAAAGCCATAGGATTGTCAATATCTTTAAATATATGAAATCAAGCCTTTCTAATAAGAACTATTGCTTTACTTTTATTTTAATACAAACACAGGAGAAACACTAGATGAATTCTGGGTGTAATAAAGTTTTAAAGGGGGCTTTTGTCCCTTCCAACTGAATTGATTAACCCCTTTACAACTCTGGGAAAAATCAACAGACCATGGGAAGGAGTTCATGTAGGCTCCCTTTGAAACCAGCAGCTACTGCAAGCTGACGGTCTTGATTGGTGCCAAATTGATTGGTTGGTCTTTTACAGTATATGTCCAAACAGTATAACAGTAAAACCATTTGTGTTACTTTTGTGAGAGCATAAAACGGCGGAGGATACGGAACACACAGTGTCTGGTCATGGGCAGACAGGGATTGGTACATGGTGTGCCATCGACAAAGGAGATGCATTTCTCATGTACTGTTCTTGAAAAAGGCTACAAAACAGGAGACGAGTGTTAGATACAATCACAAACAAAACTACTCCCAATTTTTCTGCTTTTAGTTTTAAACCACACCTGTTGTGCTCCTTCTGACAGAGCCTGCCTCCTCTCCCTCAGCTGTCGGTGCAGCAGAGCCTCCACGCCATACCGTCGACGATATCGACGCAAAGCTTTCAGCTTCTTTAGATTCTCCCTTTCCTTCATTGACAGACCTTCAGGGCCTGTCAACAGACTGCTTCCTGTACCCCACAAAAACAAACAGCAGTATGACTGTGATCAGTAAAATAAGGTTCTGTAAACATCGTCAGCGAGTGGAAAAAAAAGGTCAAACAGAAAAGTAAACAAAAGAAAACATGTTCCGCTTCCTTATAATCATGTGAATGTTTACCCAGTGTTTCGTGCTCCACTTTGCGGTTGTGTAGGTATCTGCGCTTCTTCTCCTTCAGCAGGTGCTGCAGGCGTTTGAACTGATCAATGTAAAGAGACTGGAGTCGGATCAGTTTTTCTCTTGTGATCAGAGCTACCTCCTCTGCAGTGTACACTCCTGCATGTCTGGAGTGTACAAAGTAAGAAGCCATGTCACAGTCTGTCCCCATTAAGATACCACAAAAGCAGTCCCTCAGAGAGTTCATAAATTTTAGTCCACTCTGGCGAGCAATTGTAAGGAGACTAATGAATCATACAATTAAAACTGTTGTGTGACATGATTAATCTTACTTCAGAGGATCCTCGTGATCACTGTCAACACTGTCAGCATCACTGTCAGGGTCTCCTCTCCAAGTCTGGTCAAGTACCAGTGGTCCCTGGTCATCTTCACTCAGACTGTCCTCATCTGCCCAGAGGAAGGAATTAGAGACAAACTACCCATCGGGTCAATTAGCAAGAATAGCATATATGCATTTCCCAGTCTGAACAGGATCATTTACCTACAACACGACTTGCATCTGAGCAGCTCTCATCGTGGCTCTGCGTCTCTGCCCGGCTGTAACCACTAAGCTGAGATAACAGTGCTTCTGGAGATGGAGCAGAAGTCGCCTTTCTCATCTGAGCTCGGACCGCCATTGCGTTTCTGCGAGCATGCTCTGTACAGAATGTTACCCTAAAAACATGGTTGTATATATTTAAGAAACTGTTTGGTTTTTCATTACACACCAAGCACCGCATTTTGTAGGATGTTTTTTCATACTTACCCATCTTTTCTTTCCACTTTTGGTGCCGCATTGGGGCAACGCTTGCCATTTTTGGCAGATACATAGCTGCATTGTTTGTATGGGGCATTCTTGTCCTCCAGAATATGTTTGATACAAAATTCAAGCCCCTCCAGACGAGGCTGGGAACATGGTCGCAGTGTGAAGGAGCAGGCCTGTGGCTCTTGAGCTCGGGGTGTCTGGGTCACCCGGTTCCGACTTGATGGCAAAACATGGATACGTATCCTGTTCATTGCTATTCTGCCAGAAAATAATCATTGCGTTACTTAATAGTTTTGAATAATTAAATAAGTAAAGGACAAAAGGTTAAAAATGTGAAATATGACATTTAAAAATTACTGTATGAAAGGAAACTATAATTTTTTAACTGTGAATGCAATGGTTATGACACACGGTCACTATACATGCAATTAATATTTGTTTTTTTAAGCAGAATTTAGGTAGCTGATGACACTAAAAATAATCAAGAAAATTATATATGTGAATATTTAAAGCTGACTTACTTACGCTTAGTTAAAAGAGGTCAGCACAACAAAAATATCTTACTAACACAAAATCGAATATTGTGACAACCTCCTGCCCTTGTTTTGCACTATGGTAAACAACATCTGCTTTATAGATGCATGTCATTTCCTTAATTTCCCTTTGGGATCAATAAAGTATTCATATATCTATCGATCTGTCATTGCAGGTGCACCCTAGAGTGGACGTTCCCATTTATTTATCTATAATTATGTACATAAATAGAACTCAGTTTAACATGTGACTATGTGTTTCTTGATATTATTTTTTTTTATCCACTGCTGTCAAAGTCTGAAAGCCATTGATTTGACTGACACTAGCCGTTTAATGCCTCCATGTGGATTTTTGCATCCTTTAATAAACAACGTACAAACATCAGGGCCAACGTACACATTTCTCACAAAAAATGCATTACATTAAAGCTACAGGAGGTCTGGTTTTTATGTCCTAACTAACTGTATTCAAATAACCATATAAGAATATTACAGTTTCTGAATAAATTAAGTTTTAGTGTTTTAATAGAAGCAGGCGCCGCGCCACGCCGCGCTTCAGCCCGCCTCTCTTTACTGCGTCACACTTTCAGTTAAAACGTCGCCATCTTTATTTAACAATTGCTAACAGTAGCAACCTGCTAGTAAACATTTGCAGTATTTCAAAGTGGTATTTACTGACTGTTATATCCCGGAACCCTGTCTTCTTTAATTTGACAGAATACCTGTGAGAAAAATGGCTTCTTTTACTTTCCTTATAATTCTAAACACTTACCCTTCTTTTGTTGTGTGTTCAGCGTCAGCTCCCAGCGCTCACTGCGACGCTTTTTTTCTGCGTTATATCGGCGGTGCCACAGCCACACTGCAGACACACTGGCCCCGCCCATTAAAGGCTCCGATTGGGCAAAGAAAAAATGACGCAAATAATTGGCCACTGTACTGCCAATCAAATAATCCACAATTCCACTGCAGTAGTCAAGTTTAATACACAAAACAGGCGTTACTTTAAAATATTTATTATGTTTATTTGAGAATAAATCAAACAACATATTAACAAAACAAACAAACAAAAAAAAACAGTGTTCATGTACACTACCGATGTGTATTTTTCAAAGAAATTAAAATCCAGTGAAAGTTACTGGGGTGGAAAAACGTCATTAAAAATCATGCAAATGTTAAAAGAAATAAGCTGTTGTTGCAGTTTATGGCTAAGCTTTACATGTCCTGTAAGGAATGACGAAAACCAAACGTGTTAAATTTGTGTTTTTGAAGGCAGGGATAAAACATAATTGTAGCCTTGGTTGAATACACTGCAAAAATATGACATGAATATTTGAGAGGCCAGAAGAGAGGAACTGATCAGAGGTATCTTGCAGGTGAATGATGAGCCAAAATATAAAATAAAAATAGTGTCCATCATTATCCAAGCAAACAAACACCAAACAGAAATTCCAACACATCATAGGGAAATCCTCCAATGGTTCTGTTCAAATTTCAAAATTTTTTTATTTTCCCCTGTACAAACAACTTCACGTTTCTCAGACAAAGTGACACAAAGCAATCTTAATTCATTCAAAACATATTTCTTAAAATCTTTATTACTCATTTGTTCAATGCTTCTATTTCAGAGTATACCAAGATTTTACACCAAGACTTTTTCAGTAGCATCATAAAAACCACAGCTGTCCTAAAACTTTTGAGGACGTGTAACACTTTTAGCTGAATTAAAAAAAGAAAAAAACATTTTCAGACCTGAGTGTCACCAAAACACCGAGAGATAAAGAAAAAAATTGAAACAAATAGTTTTTTTCCGCTGTGATTTTGCATTGATAGGTTGCATGAGTGTCTTCTGTTATTTTTTTTCACAGATGGGTTTATCATGGAATTTGTCTTTCTGTACAACATTCTCACAGCATAATGTAACGATCATGTAATGGGGGAATTTAATGAAAAATGCCAACAAAAGCAATGTTATGGTGAACTTTTTTTTCCCCCAAAGTCAAACAACATTACTCATAACACTTTGTTATCTGCATTGTGGGTATCGCTATGCAGATAAATGTTCAGTGCATTAACTGTTTACCTGTTACAAGAACTTATAAACCTCTGAGCAAAGAGCTGTCCTCGCTCAGCACAATTCCTTTGTGTCGAGGGGACAAAAACATTTTAATGGCCAATTTGTTTTACTGCATCATTAATCTCCTACAGATCAGGTACTTGTAATTAAAATTTTTTTTAAAAAGTTTGAAAGCAGTAACACTTAACAATCAAAACCATACAAAGCTCAATACGTGAGCAAATATACAGACGGCACCCAATTTTCTCACCAATAAATAGGACCTCTTCCACTAATTTGCTCTAACACAAATTTTAAACAAGAATTCTGAACAGTTACAGTTGTGCACTTTATCCTCACAATTTCCTTATAATCACAGCCATGTAGTGGAGGTATGTTGTATAGGCATGTATAACATGACAAACTCTGAACGTGTAAACACCTGATGAATTGTTGCATGTGATAAAAAAAAAAAAAAAACAAAAAAAAAACCACAGCCGTGTGAAACAGACGGGAGCACAAACACAACTTGACATTAATGAATTAAACCAGCATGAATGGAGACTGCATACGCTGGTTTACCACTGGAAAAATAAAAACAAAAGACGACCATAATGACAGGTTGAGGATCTTTGATGAACAATATTGTGGACACTTGGTCATACACTGTGGAGGACGTGGTCACCACAAAGTGAACACCAGTAACAGGAACTCACTCTTCTAGTGTAAGAATGAAATTCTGTATCCATTATTTTCTTTGTCTTTAAATGTAGTGATGTCAAAACACCAATTTAGTCTGTACAGGTTTTTGTTTGTTTTTTTGCTGGTAGTTTTTTATGGTGACTAAAATGAGTAGATATGATTGAATTCTCTGAACCTTTTCATAAATCACAAACGTATATTCTCATTTAAAAACGGCATTCTTTAGTGTAAGTATTTGAGCACTGAATATGAATATTTTACAACCATTTAAAACAATGACTGCAGCACAAATTTTAAAAACAAAAGTACATCTCTCTTAGCATTTTTTATAACAAAATGTAAAAAATATTTCATGTTTGTTTTAAAACCTTTTTACAATTTTTATACACTTTTTTTACCAAATATTGGAGGAAATCTAAACATACACCAGTGATGGGTTAAAAAAAATTAAAAAAGGGGTAAAAAGGTTATGGCTGGTTTTTTTTTAAAGAACATTTTTCAAAAAGAAAAAGGAATTAAAAAGATGGCTTTGGAGACATACACTCTCAAACAAGCCTGTACAGTCCTTCTCAAGAATTAATTACAGCTCTGCCCAAAAACAACATGGAGGGAAAAGCATTGTTAAGGTATGGAGAGGCATTTAAAAAAAAAAAAAAAAGTTTTCAATTAATAAATAACATACTAGAAACATAAAAAAAACAATGCATAAGATCTCACAAGTATGTGATGGAAATCTTTTAGTTTCCTGGTAATTCCATGATGATGATGACTCCCTTCGATACAGTAATCAAGTCTTATCATTGCATTTGTTTAAAATCAATAAAAGGAGAAAAATATCTACACTTTCCGGTCACATTTTCCTTATTTTTTTAAGGCTTTTGAAGCCTCTCATTATTGCCACACTATTGAAAAAACATGTGCACACCAACACAACCTAAAAAAATAGTAATACAAAAAAAAACATTGATAGGGGTTTTTGCTAAGAGTATGTCTTTTGTGTGATGTCAAGCATAATGTACACAACATCCCCTGACCAGGAACTTATTTGGGTAAGGGTGGCAGTGGTGGAGGTGGGTCCGAAGGCAGTGGTGGAGGTCTGGGGTTGGTGACTCTGGAGGCACCGCTGTACCGATAGTCCCCGTATTGAGACCTGTAGTCAAACATAGACGGCTGGGATGGCTGGACACCCTGAGCACTCAGTAAAGAGTTCAGCATGTCAAAAGTGTCCTGGTACTCATTTGACTGGGCTCCACCCGCCGCTCCGTGTCCATTAGTATCTGATTTGTCACTTTTGGAGTGAGAATAGCTCCCTTGGTGAAGGGGAAGACCCAAGGCTGGTAGAATGTCAGGACCGTGTCCTAGAGTTTGTCCAGAAGAGGAAGACAGGGACGGTAGCTGGTAGGGGTTCCGAGAGGACTTGCCGAGTTTCGCAGCGGTATGACAAACCGCCGTCGGGTCCTGGGAGTGCGTCCTCTTTCGTGACGTAGACGAAGATGAAGAGCTCGTTCTGGATGAGTCACTGGGCACCTTTTTGCTACTTCCTGCTGCACCACTGGAACTAGACGAGTGTTTATGAGAAGAGGACAGGGAGGCAGTGCCGGAGGAGGAATGGTGGTGATGCGGATGGTGGTGGTGGTGATGGTTCGACCGATCTCTGTGCTTTTCTCGGATTTTGACCTCCTCTCCGGTTCCCCTTTGCTTCTCAGGTACCCGTATACGTACTTTGATATCCTGATCCTGACCACGGGAGTTACTGCTGTGTCCGCTGCCACCTCCTCCTGCAACAGGAAAACGCATTTTCAGTGAACTTCTGTCATGCCTCTCCTTCTCTAGGGGAATTTTCAGTATTATGGGTGAAGGATTGGACATGTCAGAAGAGGACGAACTGGACTGTTGGTGATTGTGGGGCTGCTGCTGCTTGTCCTTCTTCTGTTGCTGACCAATGAGGGCCTGCGCAGCGTTGGCGTACTCCCTCTTCACACTAGCCTCCATGTTCTCCAGTTTCCTTTTCTGGGCGGCCAGAACATCTGCATTCTTGGCACGGTACTCACTCAGTGACACCTTGGCTGGGGTGTGGACCTCGTGGTTCGGCTGCGTCTGCTGCAGCTGCTCAGGAGCAGCCTGACCTTTACCACTCCAAGTCTGAGCACTGTCAGATGCCGTCCTCTCCTTATCACCAACAGATGAGGAAGATGCAGATGGCGGCGCGGAGAGGCTCATCAGGCCAGCAACAGTCGTCTCTGATGACGCCATCGAGATCATGCTCATCATAGTGTCCCGCTGGTCTCCTTCTTCCTGGACTTTTGGTTTGACTTTGGGAGTTTGACCTCCAGCCTGGGAGAAGATAAAAAAAAGAATAATCAGATTTGAGGAATGAAATAAAATGATGACAGTGCTTTGTACACTGTATAAGAAGTTGCTGTTGCTGTACCTTCCAATTTCTAATCCGTTTTAAACGACTTGGTGTTTTCTCCAGAATTTGCAGGAACTCGTGGGTTAGTTCTGTCAGAGATTATACCCAGTAAATAGATCCATAGTTGCATAGTTTCCAAAATTAGTCTAACAAATGCTGTTCAAGGGGCGGGGGAGGGGGAAAGTACTACAGCACATACCATCCAGCAGTTCTAGAGTAACTGAGGGATCCACATACTCCCACCAGTGTTTGCCATCTGTGGAAACGGGAATCTCCCAGTTGGACCATTTGCAGGCCAGGTGGATGCACACACAGGCCACGACAGGTGGGCTGTACTGCAGGCAGAATGTGGTCAAGTGGAGACTATGTGACAAAAGGGGAGAGGACACAGAAAAAAAAACAATATATTTAATATAACAACTGTAAAAGAATCTTAACAAATTCTCTGGTGATTTGTCACTGTACCTGTTGGTAGCCATAAAGTATGAGGTCTGGGCCAAATCCTTACTTGCTAAATCAACAACAAGAGAACAAAGAACTGAACGTTAATTAAACGAATGTGCACGATAAGCAATGCGCTTTCAGTGAAGTTCATTTTTTATTAGTGCAACAAAAACAAAGGTGTAATTGTTAAGGAAGGATATTTAAGTGTCTGGTATTGAAGGTGGAATTGTTTTTTTCACTGCCTTGTTTACATTTCATCTCACAAGTGTGTGGAATGTACAGTGAATAAACAAAGAGATAACATATATGCATTGCTCTATAAGATGTCTGAAGCATATAACTTTCCCTCTGTGCTGTGGATTGAAGAATGTTTAACGTGAACAAACTGCAGTGTGAAAAAGCTCAAGAGATTTCAAAGATTTTTGAGAAAACGCCAAACCCTTTCCCTTCTCACTCTCAATTTTTACTTAAATAATGATTTGTGTGATTGAACATTACAATTTTGAACTCATGCCATATTAATATCAAGCACAAAGACAAAAAGATTCCTTCAAAACTGACCACCTGAGGCTTACCTCTGACCAACTGCGTGCATTTGACAACATGAGTGTGTGGATGATCGATGGTAATTTCAAAAGCTGCAAAGAAAAAGAAAAAAAAAGCCGTCAGAGAGTAAATTAGCATTCAGTAATTACCGGTGAAAGCCAGTCAATATCCATGGCAAAAGAGTATTTTCAATTCAATGGTAACAACAATATACAAAGGCTCCTGAAAATCAAAAAATTAAATTCAAGAGTGAAAAGGAGATTTTTTTTAACCTTAAAACATCTAAAAAGTGGGAGGAATGTTTCTTTCTTTACAAACTGGGTATTGTTCGTCCATTAGTTCTGAAACTTCCAGGTCAGTTTATAACAATTAGTTCAATCATGTCACTGTCATTTTCTTCTTTTCTGGTGTTGAAAATATGGCACCAGACCAAGCAGTCAATCGGTCAATGCAGCATATCATTTCAATGCCTAAAAAAAAAAAAGTCTCAAACATTAAAAAAAAGAAAATGTTGAAGATTAATGGCTGAAAAGAAGCAAAGTAGAGACATGTGATGGTTTGCCAGTGGCTTAACAGAATGCTACAATGAAGCGTGGATGTCATTGTCCAGCACCTTTAACTGCATGTCTGCTCTCTGTGGGCAAATGTAACAAATGGTTAGCGCCGTTTTTCCAACCACACCTTTATGGGAGGGAAACAAAATCACGGGTACCAGCTCATCCTTCCCAACTTACCCAAGGTCTGGAGTATAATGCTCTCAAGAATGACCAGGTCTTGGGCTTGTTGCAGGTAGGCCTGAGGTTGAGAGGACAGGCACATTACTCACTGGGCGCCCTCCATCCATAGATGAACAAGAGCATCGGCGCACACTTTGTGGTTTGTCGGTATGAATGAAAAGAAACTGAAAATTCATCTGAATACAATTGAAATCAAGGACCACCTGTTTGTTGGTCAAAAATATTTACCTTGCCTTACATTTACAGTTTTCTGACAATACAAAGGCTGTACTGATGCTCTTGTTTTTCATGTAACAGACATCACATTACTGGATGACTGAAAACCGACAGTCTCAGATTGTGTCTTATTTTCTCAATCTTCGTAAAAAAAAAAACAAACCCTGCACATCTGGGGAAAGAATAAAATAATGACTTTTTGACGATTGAATGCATTTTCACATGCAAGTAAACAAGAAATTTTAACTTCTCTAGGTACATCAACCAAATCAGTGTTGAGACTTAATACTTTAAAGTTATTTTTCCTCCAACTGCAGAAAACAGATTTAGAGCCAAATGGTCATACTGAGGAGAAACCCACACTTACATTCATATTAGTGACACAAAAGTCTACCAATCAAGCAAGAGTATTTTAAATGGTGCAGCTGTCGATATCATCAGCCAACGTGTACTTACATCACTGCGTACATCTGGTGACGGATCCTGAGGATTTAGGCATGCGTGAGCCACTTTGATAACATGCTCAAGTTTACGGGGCTGCTCCTCCACCTTTGCAGCAAGAAAGAGTGCAGCAGGAGCAATGACCTTATATGGGGAAAGAAATGAAAATTAGGAGAGGACATTTGAAAGGCAAAGGGTAATTTACTTAGGAGAGGACATTTGAAAGGCAAAGGTAAAGGGTAATTTAAGTTTTCTATACTTTACTTACATTTCTGTGAAATCTGGTGAACGACTGGATCATGTAGAATCGATGCATGTAGACGATGGCTGTGTTAATTGTAAGTTGGGACCTGGTGTTTGTTGAGTTAAGAAAAAATCTCAAAAGCAACACATTCAGTCATGCTTAAATGGCAGTAACAGCTCTAGATGTGTTATGGAAAGAGCACATGAACACGCGTTTCTATTTTTGTGTCCAACCAATGCCTAATAATAAAGCAGGTATATAGTTAGCATATATTGGCTGAATCAGGAGCAGTGCCGCACAGAAACAGATTTGATGTCCTGCTCATCAGCTTTCTTACTTTCAAGTTAAATCTGCACTGCACAGAAGGTGTAAAGTTACTCGGTTTATGGTCTCTCGCCTCACCCTCATTTCCCTCCAACAGCAACATTGTGGGATAGTTTTAGAAACAACACTTGACAGCCATCAAATGCCCAAATTATACCCACAAAAGATGAGGATAAAACCAAGAGATATATAAGGCAATCTTCATAGGGGGAATAACAACTCCTGATGTAAACAAAGAACACGAACTTTTTCGGGTAACGAAAACAACAAGACGCACACTCTGCTGAGCGCTGAGTTAGTTCGTTAATAGTTATATATTGTTTTGTGTACGCCACTGCCAACATATACTGAATATAAAACAATTTTGCCTGCTCAGTTTTGAAGAATTGTAAAACAAACGATTTGGTGAGCGTAGCGCGTCCGTATTAAGCACAACACAATAAAACTTTTCACACTACAACAACCAAATGTCCGAGTAGCTCCGCGTCTAGTTGCACAGGATTTACACTTTAGCCGGAAACTGCGGTTTAACAAAAAACAAAATCGTTGGCTCTAAAATTGTATCACTAAAAACAAAAAATTGAAACATAGGTATTCTACACCCGACACGTTGCCCTCGGGTATGCATTTAATCCAGGTAAATGTTTTCAACAATAACGAATAACTACGCTGAAGTGCTGCAGGCCTTTGCAGACACGCAGGCCTGCGCGGCCCCGCTTATCCTAAAACAACGACACTTAGCTCACATAACGTTGCTGTGCCCTCGTACATCAACATTCTCACTAGACTATATAACTGAATAAGTAGCGGTGGAAAATATAGTGCTAAAAATCAGGACAGTAACATGAATTGAGGGCGTCCTTGGCCGAACCGGCAACACGAGAGCAGCGACACCTTATTAGCCTTGATGCTAACCGCGAAAGCTAACTGAGGCGACAAAAGATACACATTGAGCCGCTGTCCCATGTCCTGGAGCAGGTTGGCCGCCTGTTGTCTGTACGACAGCTCTTTGTCCGGGTCAAGTCCAGCTCGCCGAGATGGGCTGTCGTCGATCTGCTGCCGGGTGTAGTACCATTTGTTGTTACTGCTTGTAGGGAGAGAACGAAACGAAGCAGCCATTACTGAGAAGGACAGGAGTTTAAAATTTCTCTGCGTCACAGGAACATACGTCACAGCCAAGACTGTAGTGGAGGGCGCTTATTGTTGGTTTCATTGTTTCAACTATAACCGGCAGGTGGCAGTGAAATTCCCGCCGTTATACTAATGTGTTGTCCTCCCTAATTAATTCATACTGATTCTTAAGGAAACGTGTTGTGTTGAAGGTATGTATCCTAATAGTGTTCTTTATATTTTGAAAACTTGTATTTGTATATCTACTTTTTCTAACAGGAATAGAATTTTTAGTGTTCTATGAAGAAGTACAGGCCGGCCTTTGGTTTGTGTCATTTGTTTGTGAAAAATATAAAGTAAGAATTTATGTAAAGAACATATTTTCCAAATGAAGGAAGCATGTTCATATTTATCGGCATAAATAATAGATGCTATGTGCAGATGTAAGTTTCCTATTTGGTCTGTACTACTTTCACTCACATTGATGCACGGTTTTGGTGTTGGTCTGCTAATTAGATGTTTTGAGCCTATAAAAAATAATTTAATAACATTTTTTAAAACTATCAACATTAACGACAGTGACTTTTTGTAAACATCAGAACCTTAAATTTCTCAGTATCTTGTAATAATAAGAAACTGCCGATTTTACGGTCAGAGAACTGATTGCGGTCCCTTATATTCTCCTGAGGTTGCATATTATTAATGAACTGGGCTCACTTCTAAAAATATCTACTCTTAAAGTAGGTTATGTTTTTTTTTTTAAACAGCGGGTGTTACAATGACATATTGTACAAAAGAACAAGACAGAACAGAAACAAATGTGGAAAAATCAGAGCCATTTATTTCAAATCACATTCAATTAGAAAATTGACAGATATCCAGAGCAGTTTACCAACAGTAACCTCAAATAAAAAACAAACAAAACCAAGCAGGTTATCAGATAAAATCCATAGTACAGTTAAATACAAGAGTTTTACCACAACAGTGAACTGGATATTAAGCTGTGGTATATGTATGTATGGTTGAGTAGTTGGAGAATAAAGAAGACATGAGAAGTGATTTTTATCATATAGCGGATGCTACAATTGCATATTTAGTTTTAATTTGTTAAATCACGTAAACTCCTAACTCGGACAATGGTTACTGGGACCACAGATATAAATCAGAAACATCATTCCCTTCATTTAATTTAAAGGTGAGATAATACTTCAAAATAACAGAGGTTTTTACTCTGAAGTAGCTGCTTTTATTTGTTAGGAGAGAAGGACTGCACTTGAGTGCTGCTGAAATGGCTGAGATTTATTAGATAACTGTATGCTGGAACTTTAGAGGCTATTATTCTAGTCCAATGGAGGGGAAAATTATGATAACATAGGAGTAAATAAAACAACCGTCAAAAAGAATAGTAAAAACCTTGTTCCAATGATGACTGAGGTGACTGAATAAATACTAACCACTGACATGAGTGAATTAGAACCTAATGTATTTAACTGCACAGCTGATTTATGGAAATCTTATTGGTGTTATTTTACGTCTCTCTTGAACAGTCATGGAAAGACTTTACAAAAAAGATTTACTCCAAAACACTATTTACACTTTTCCAAATCTTTCGGCACGCTTCACTTTCTTTGCCTGTAGAGAGAAAAAAGGAAAATGTTTATATTTCCTTTTTTTACATTTACATTTTTTGCATTCTCACATTCTCAAAGTTTAGATAACACATGGTGTTAAAACTGCAGCTGACCACACAAGTTCATTCGCAATACTTTTATAAACAAATGAGTGTGCAGTGAATAAAAAGGCAAGAGATTACCTCAACATCAACTGCAACCTGTGAGCCTGCGCTTGTCATGATCCCAAACCTCTCCTTCCTCTTTTTCAGCCTCTCATCCTCCTCCACCTGAAAAAACAACATTGTTGTCACCCTGAGATCTTTTTCAACAGAGGTAAAATCTTAAAAATAAATATATATATATATAAAGATTATTTTCTCCTTTAGTAAAATTTTGCAGATACACTTTCTTAAATCAAAATTTAGGGCAGATATCCATGCAATTTAAAGAAAAGTACTGCTGTTAATCACCTTTTTTGAAATGGATGAAACATTCATGCCAAATCTTTCTGCTCTCTTCTTCAGCTGATCCATATTCACCTTTAGGAGAGAAATAATCAGTTGGTTCAAAAGATGAAAGATTGGTAAATATTACAGTCAAATAAATTACTTTTTTTGCAACACTTACAGGAGCTTTACTGTTGGCAACAAGACCTGTGGATAAAGAACGGGGAAAATGAAGAAAAGACAGAAGGTTAGTTGAGGGATTACAGGACATATATATTTTCTAAACACAGTTATGGAGCAGAGAGAGAGAGAGAGTCACCTGGAGCAGGACTGGCATTGTCTGTGGGTAAACCAAACCTGTGGGTAGAAAACGCTTTAATTACAGTTGAACTCCAGCATTCATTGGTTAGCAGGACAAAGATGTGAGGGCGTTGATGTACAGATATTGTTTTGTTTCTCACCTGGCTGCACGTATGGCCTTTTTGCTTTCTGAAGTCGCAGGCACGCTGAAACGTTCAGCTCTTTTCTGCAGTCTCTGCTTGAAAGAAGCCAAACACATTACAGTTTTGCTCAGCTCATTCTGAATCACATAGCATCAAATTTAGATACTTAGGTACATACGTCACTGGCGGATGATGAAGGAGCTATTTTCACCACTGTCTTTTCTTCAGTTCTGAAGAAAGTCATTTTGTCACAGAATTCAACAATTAGGACGTAATCGGTTTTTTATATATAAAACAGATGTTACCTACCAACTCAGGATTACATTAACATAATGTAAAAAAAAAACACTCACTTCTCACACTCCACAGGTTCAGGATCCTTGTCAACCTTTATGTTGTCAGCAGCCTCTTTAGTGAAGTCCTAAAAGAGAAAAACAGAATAATTAAACACAAATTCACATCATGCTGTAGTAAAGAAATAAATATCAGGGGTTTGGCCCAAAAAAAGGTAACAATCACATTACCTCAGTATCCTCGGCCAACACATCATCAACATCAACATCTTCCTCTGTTTGGATCATGAAACAAAGGAATTTTCAGCAAGAAAAAAAGTAACAGGTGAAAATAGACATTAAAAAATGAAAAAGTAGTATATAAGAGCTTACAGTTTACTACTTACTACACAAAAACTAAATGTACTTCACAAATATAGCACTGTGGTGTGTGGTTTTACATCCTCACCATGTTCATCCAGGTAGGCCTGCAGTCTGGCTATCAGCTCCCCTTTATTTCCTTTGGTTTCCAGACCTCTGGCTTCACACTCTTGCCTCAGTTCAGCAAGCTGCGAAAAAACCAGAGAACAAGAAGAAAATCATAAATAATTTCATAATTTTAAACCAAATCATGGTTCACTCCTGTCCTCATCTTCTACAATTTTCTTTTCCAAAATCTGGAAGAATTTGAAAGGAATTCGATTTCAGTCAAAGTTGCTAATTTTACTTGGAGCGAAAGAGACCAGGAAACATCTTTTGCAGGAATGTTTATACCAAAATGAAAAATATATGTAGAGAAATAACTTTGTTATTATCGTAACGACTCTATATATTTCTTAGTACGTTTTGACCTTTCATCGTACGTGTTGGGGTATATTTTATTTATCAAAGCAGCTGATTAGTTGCACTACAGTTTTAAAAGATGTGCAAATCTTTAAAAAGATTAATATATCCCGTTTTAATTTTCTTTATTAAGTCTATTTTTTAAGATAAATTAGAAACATTAAATGCGTGTCGAGTATACTCCTCATATCAGTCCATCGCGCGGATTTCCGGCTGTAATTGTGAAATTTGGCTTTAACTATGGTCATGGATATAATGTTTGTCCAATTTCCTTTTAGATTACATCTAAATGTCAAACCTAGAGTTTACATTTTCCACGCCTAATACCAGTCTAACCTGAAGGTGTGCCGGTGAAAGAGCAGCGTGATCACACGCCGGTCCTTCGCACACGATTTTTACCCTAACATCGAGTCTACTCCTTAAACTTCACTGTTAAATCTTAACACTGACAAAGTCTGAAATACAGTCAAAACACATTTAACTTACGGGTTTATATGATTAAAATTTATATTTTAATCTAAACCCACCTTCAGTTTCTGCAGCTCCACCACTTCAGCCATCTTTCTTTGTTATTGTACTTCCTCCAATCAAAGAGTAGCCGCTCTTTCCTTTTCAACAGCGACTCTAGCTCACAGCGCCGCTCACAGGTCAGACTGACACACTACAGTCCAACCACACGCAGTAACTTTTTAAATATGATATTGGAATAAGCTGAGAGCGGCGAAATAAAATGGATACAAAACACAAAGGATTCTTATAGAGAGTGCATTTATGAACTGGAAACAAATCGTTTTAATGAAAATTTTAAATAAATAACTGTGGCAGGTTTCATGATTTTTAAGGCAGCAGCATTAGACTACTTTACTCTCTAAAGTAGTCTGTAGGCCACGCTGTCATTTCAATCACAGTAGCATTAAGGTATCTTATGCAGCACTGCATGAATGCTTGTAGGTCACATGCGTTTATAATCTTAATATCAGTTAGCAGTACACCTGCTCATGAAACCATTTGTGCTAAAACGTTGGTTTAATTTTCAGGCAATATATAAAAACACTTTTTTGTTAAACAAAGTGAAACAGGGTTGTCACTTAATTAATTTCCCTTCCTTTTTTCTGCAGATATTTCACATTTCAAATGATAACTCCATCATGAGGTTGAACCGTGGATTTGTCAGGGGTGAAGTTTTAGAGAAGTGGAGCAGGTTCATGGTCCACACAGCAGCAGGTGAATCAGGTCTGAGCTGGATTTTGCTGTGAATGCTGACATTGTTTAAAAAGAGGTTTAAAAGGTGTAACAATTTGGCATATGATACGTAGACAGAAACAAATCTTTTAACACAGTGACTTTTTAGTTCTTTTGGTGAAGGAGGACAAAGCCGGATAAATTTAGGGAGTCACAAGAGCGTCTGTAATCCTCAATAATGCTGCATTCCTCCCGTTTCTGCCTCAAGACACGGCCTCACTGAGTGGAATGTGTGGCCTTTGTGATAATGATGCATAGATCAATGACTCCCTGCTATATTTCCTCTTTTAAATGCAGACATTTAAAAGTGTGTTTGCACATTATATGAACAGTATTGACCTCATGATTTCTACTTATGTAGTCTTTACAAAAAGTAACGTTTGCTGCATGCCTTTTGGACCCACACTGACTTAAGATGCAAGGAAGTTGGCGTAGGAAATTGAAAAAAATAACATTTAAATTTATTTAACATCATAAGTGATGTTTCTGTCTATATCTAATCATTTTGTCTCCAATTTTATTAAATGAGGGCTGACTCTCAGCTGCATATGTTGATGTCGACTTACAACCGTTCTCCTTGTTCAGTTCATCCACGTCGACTTTGGACTCGTGACGCAGTCATTTGCCGTTATTTGCATTTCTGACATGATTATTTACTGTATGAGCAACTGTAATCTGTCTTTACTGTAAATACTCATTCAAACTAAGTTGCCCTAAATCTGATTTTTTTTTTTGCTAATACACCACGTGGGCTCAGACATCAGGGAGTTTATAAAGCCTCTCCTCAGTCTGCAGCCTCTCACCAAAGGGACTTTTCATTCAGTGGTGGTGGGCTGAGCTGACGATGTGGACTCCTGCTGTTCTACTCCTGCTGCTCCTGCTGCTGCTGGGGGTCGTTTCACACACTGTGGCAAGTAAGTACAACAGAACATCAGCCAGGAATGGAGCAAAAAAACTGAATTAATCACTCGTTTGAACTGTAACAGTGGAAGTGTGTCTGTAACATCAAAGCTGTGATTTTGGAGAAAATCCTCTTTACTTAAAGTAATTCACATAATTACTGTTGAGCCGCAGCCAGGGGACATGAAGCAGAAGGTCTAAACCTCATTAGAATTAATTTATCACAGACCTGGTGTTGATTAATATGTTACTTTTGATATCAATTAACAAGCATTTGAATTTGTTAAATTAATAATTATTTTAAGTTGAAATAAAAAAGAAACCTCCCAGGATGCAAGTGTACATGTCTACAGACTGGTCCAGTTTTTTTGTTTAAAGACTTTGTTCTGTCGTTCCCCCATGACCTCTTTGGTCACTCATGCATGAGAGTAAATGAAAGAATTTGACCTGTTCACATCAAAGTGCTGTGCGGGATTTTTTAAACTTTTGAATTAAATATAAAAAAGAAAAGTCTTTAATATTTTGATGCCAGCCTTGAAAAACATGTGACATGAAAAGTCTGACTCTCTGAAGTCATCTGGAAAGACTAGAACCTTGATTCAACACCGTGACTACAATAAATCTGTTGTTGGGTTTTTATTCTATCCCTAAGACAGTGATACGATCACACACACACACACACACACACATGCATGAACGCACACACTCACTCAGCTGAACATCACATGAGTAGGATTGGAGAGATTTGAGAATATTTTGAAGGAAGAGAACACTTTCATTGGTACAGCAGCAGCTCTGTTTAATAATTTACACGATTATCATCCATCTGTTCGTGTTGTTATTATTAATAATGTCATTTTCTTTTTTATAAAACAAAGGGCCCAAAAACCAGTTCATCCGTTATCCATCATGGAACACCAAGATGTATCCAGTCTGGAAAGACGGAGATCCACGGTACAAAGACTCCTGGAAAGGTACCTTAGAATAGTTTTATTAGCAATATTAGCTTCGTTAGCAACGTTAGCAGACGTTAGTGTTTACAAAAACAAACAAAAAACAACAAAACACAATTTACAAAATTGATATAATAAAACTGTGTATAAAAAACACAATTTACAAAATTGATATAATTGGTAACTGTGTAGTAAAATATTATATCTGTCTATTTCATTTCATTTCTGGATACTTCTGTACCTACTGGATACTATTTTACTGACCACATACTGTAAAAATACAGTACACGCTACGGAGGACGCATGACCAGACCAATGTTGCCCTGTTTGTTGTTTTGCAGGTGGAAAGGTGTCTTTTAATGTAGGCAATGACTCACCCACTCTGACTGGAGCCAAAGTCACGTTCACCATAGAAATAGAGTATCCGCACAACCAGAGGGTGCAGCCTGGTGGAGAGGTGGTTTGGGCCGAAGACTGCGTCATCAACGGTAACAAGTCAGACATTTCAGTACACCACCCAACCCAGCAATTTTAGAAAAAGTAGTTTTTAAAAAAATATATAAATGCTGTCTAACACTACAGTGCTAACTGCTAATAGAAGTATTTTTAAAATTAGAAATTTTATAAATTAGAAAAAAAACCTCAAATTTTTATTTGTTAAAATATATTGATATATTTCACTACTTTTTAATGCAGGCTGTACATTATCATCCAGATCATAGTGTGATCCTTGACTTGACTGTTTCTAATGCCACAGGAACAAAATACCACAAGTCTGAGCCAGTTTATCCAGCCCAGCCCACGGAGTGGGAGGCTGATTTTCCTGATGGAACACCAATTATAAAGGACCAGAAGCCGGATTATGTTTTTGTCTGGAAAACCCGGGGTGAGTATAAAAATGTAGTCTCTTATTTATGGAATCTAAGTTATGAATTATTAAGAGTTGTGTTTGTTGGTCAGATGGTGGGAGTTTATGAGGTTAATAAATGTTATAAATGTGAAAAAGTAAACATTGCAATGTAGTCAACGGAATCTAATTTATATTTAGTTGACTTAAATACGTTTGATATGTGGTTGACTGAACTAGGATTGAAACAGTTCTATTGACTAATGTGGGACTTGTGAGACTTTGGTCACAAGAAAAATGATGTCTGTGCCCCTGACAGGTCAGTACTGGCAGGTGGAGGATGGCCCCTCCTCCTCTCTGACCATTGGTACAGATGACATCCCACTGGGCTCCTACACCATGGACGTAGTCATCTACCACTACCGCAGCAGACAGAAGTTCATTCCTCTGGGATATGCCTCTGCACAGTTCTCCATCACCGGTGAGTTCAGTTGTTGCTGTCGCACATGGGTTCTCAAGTTGGGGTGTGCGTAACCGTAGGAGGACTTAAATACCACCCCTTCCCACAGTCTTTCAGTTGACATTGCTGCATTTTAAATGTTTTTTTTGTATAGATGTAACTACTCCATAACAGACTAATACATTGATTATTATTTATTGAAGCTACAAATATTGTTCATTGCTGTGTAATAAAGAAACCGAAAAAACAGAACAGCTTGGCGAGCCACATTTGGCCCCCATGCCTTAAGTTTGACACGTGTTCTAATGCATTGAGTCCCTTTTAACAAAAATATATAAAAAATATGATGGAAGATGTTCTAATGATGAAACATCTAATATCTCAAACCATTACTTTCCCAACATCTTAGTAGGTACTGCTTCTGTCCACTGTGCTCTCCAGCTAAATGTCTGCTACCGTCTCCTCAGATCAAATCCCATTTGCGGTCACCATGGACCAAGTCAACGACGTAGCAGCAGGAGACCTGCGCTTCATCCAGAACAGGGCTATCGCTTTCACCGTCGCCCTCCATGACCCCAGCGACTACCTCAGTGATGCAGACATTACCTTCAACTGGGACTTTGCAGATGGGAGTGGTGCGCTCATATCCAGAGAGCTGACTGTCACTCACACCTACGTCAGCTCTGGAACCTTCAAACCTAAAGTAATGATCCAGGCTGTCATCCCTGACAAGGCCTGTAATCCTACAGCTGCTGCTCCAACACGGGCTCCGAATCCACATCAGGACCAGGACATCACAGGTGGACTAAAATAAAAAAATTGTATTTAATAAGTATATTTAACATGGTTTGAACGCAGCCATCATTTGTTACTTACCAACTTTAACAATGTTATATTGTATCTTCACTTAAACTGATGTGATAAAATAGAAACCTTACTCAACCTTTTCTGTCCACAGTCAAACCTGTGGTCTCCACCCAGGCGGCTGACCTCCATGTAATAGTGTCGACATCAGACACAGAGGAGGACACTGCTGGAGGTGAAGCCCCCACCGCCTCCACCTCTCAGTTTGTCCAGGCCACCACTCCTCCACCTGTCCATATACCAGATGACGTTGATGCAGGTCAGCCTTTTCCTCGTTTATTACAGTTCTGGACTTCACCTCATGGTGGAGCTAGTTGACATTAGCCAAAAGGTTGAACGTACTGTACTGCGAACTGCAGAGTGTGACTCTGATTTCCTTAAATGCAAATATGATGGAAATCTTTAACGCAGATAAGAAGCAGTGTTAAAATCAAACGTTGAGATTTGCATGTTCACCGTGTGTCATCCTCAGTGCACTGAGAGAAAAGGAAGGAGGAAATAAGCAGGTGATTGTTGTAGATTGTTCATGTGGAAAATACACACAGATTTCCCCTGACTCCCAGAACCTACTATTACTAATGCAATCGTACATGTCATGAGTGGGATATATGGAACTGTGTATGCATTACCTGTAATGTGGGCTATAACTAGGAGTCTAGGAAAATATTGTACCACAAACTGATAATCTACAACATCGTATTAATATTTTTATTGACAATTAACAGTCAAATATTAATATTATTAATTATTTTCTAGTGATTACAAATATAGGTCCATCTGTTCCGATGTCAGTAACCTGATGTTAAGCATGTAACAACATTGTGTGTTTACTATGCTGAGAGTTTTCCTGCATTTAAATAGTAAAAAAAAAACCCTCAATATATGGTATATATGGTAGCCTATAGTAGCACAGTATATTGGTATATATGGTAGCCTATAGTAGCACAGTTTATTGGAATATATCCTATCATTGCCCCTGTATCGTGGTACGTATCGTATCGTATCACCAGATTCTTGCCAATACATGTTAACTGTGTTAATCTTTAGCAGCGCGTATTGTATCGCCAGATTCTTGCCAATTACATGTTAACTGTGTCCAGTAATTCCATCAGACATCCATGTATTGTTACTCTAATACACAGTTGATTCACATGTTGTTGTTGTTTTTAATCATGTGTTCACTAATTATTATGGACTCTGACAGGACGAGCTCCAGGGGTGAAGGTTGTCAGGAGGAATACTGATGACAACGACTGCGTGATTTACCGTTACGGCTCCTTCTGTACCAGCATAGACGTGTTTGGTGAGTGACATTACAATAGTTAGTCAAGATCATGATTGTCAGTGTCTGTCCTTGACCTTGCGACCTTCACCTTTAGAGGGCATCGAAACGGTGGCGGTTAAACAAATAGACAAACCTGTGTTGACAACAACAGAAAAGGGTCCAAGAGTGGTGGATATCACAGTCACCTGCCAGGGAAGGTAGGTCCTGTCAAGGAGAAACATTCATGTCAGCCGTCATACTTTTTTAAAGAATATTTTAAATTTGAAATCATGTGATTGTCACTTTGCTCCAGTCTTCCTAAGGAGGTGTGCAGTGTGATTCTGGATGCCGAGTGTTTAACTCCGATTCACACTGAGTGCAACGTGGTGGAGCCTTCTGTGGAGTGTCAGCTGGTGCTGCGTCACTTCTTCAATGACTCCGGTGTCTACTGTATCAACGTGTCCATGTCCAATGACGTCAGTTTAGGCCGTACCAGTGCCAAAGTCCACATAGAGATGGGTATGAAACATAAATATACAAGAAAACCTCTCAACTGTTTCATTCCTAACTGACTTTAACCCTGTACGTGTCAGGTCCAGGTGTTTCCTCCTCAGGTGCCATTGCTCTGTTACTGGGTGTCCTGGTGTTTGCTCTGGTGGTAGGGATACTGCCATATTCCTGCAGGTAAGAAGTCTTTTTTGTGGAAGTCAAAAACATCTGGCAGTTTCTTTTTTTTGTTTTCTTACATTCAAATAGCCCCGTCTCCTTCAGAATTATTTCCTCCTTGAAACATTTTGTGGTTTGAACATTCATTCATTCTTCTTCTACTGCTTTTTCCATCACACGGCCACTTATAGAGACATTCGCGCTAACATTCATTTCAATGGCCAATTTATAGTGTAGACTTTCCCACAGAATACCCACACCCACTCAGACACGGAGAGAACAACCACAACTTCCAGTGGGTGGGACCAGAGCAGTGTAACCTAGCCTGTCACATTTTTTAAACATTTGTGGAAAAGAAAGTATTTGTCCTTGTGGAGAAATGCCAGAGGGAATGTGGAAAACACATGTAACAGTTTAACAGTTTTTTTTATGATCTTTAAAATCAATCATTGAGCCCTAAAAGGTGGCCCTTCAAAATATATATTTTTTGCAGATTACATTTTTAGTGTATCAGCACCAAACATATCCTGAACTAGGCAACACTGAGAGCTACGTCCTACATTAGTCAGCAGCTCCTACGGAGTAGCAGCTCGGGTGGTGCCTTTAAACCTGCTTTGTTTAACAAAGCTCTGCGTTAATGCCAGAGAGGAAACTATCTTTGTGATGATAATAACAGTGTTAAACCTAGGACTCTTGCATACCTCTCACCAGACATTTGAAGTCCTACGGACCTCTGAAGGAGGACGGCCTTTTCTCTGGAGACCAGAAGCTCAGCCAGGCTCAGAGATCCTCAGTTCTCTCTAAGCTTCTGAGGAGACCCGGGGTCATGGATGACGGCCCTCTGCTGCAGCAGAAGCCGGTGTGAGCCTGAATCTGGTGGCTCATCTTTCGACCACCCACATGGGTTAGTCTTTTTATACTTTTGTAAAAAAAAAAAACCCAAACCATTTTCATGAAAATGAAAGTGTTTTAAATGGAATTAAATCCTAACTGGAAACATAGCCTAAATGTATCACTTTTGGTGGGTAATAAAGTGTCCTACTGAACCAAACAGGCTTTAATATTTCCTTTTACTAATCCAGCATCGTCTAAAGATGTGTCAGCACTGTTTCTAATATATAAATTAACATTACCATTTATAGGCATATGATGTAGAAATCTGTAGTAGCTGTGGTTCATGTAATGATTACATTAGAAATCTGTAGTAGCTGTGGTTCATGGTTCATGTGGTTCATGTAATGATTACGTGTCTTAGTGAAGCTTCAGTGCATGAAGAACTAATGCTTTCATACAACAAATATGTTAAAAATATCAGTGAATATATATTTATCTAAATATATATATTTATTGTGAAAAAGTAATATTGTTCTCAAAAAAACAACAATACAAAAGGTCACGTGCCACAGAACTTTATTTCAATTTGACATTTTCCACTTCAGTAGCCAAACTGGTGACAATTTCTGTTTGGAGACGTTCAACATCTAACACTAATTATCGCAAGAGTCGCTTCTTTGCCCCTTTAGTATTCTTCTCCTTCCTCTTCTCCCTCACCCTCAATGGAGTCGACTCCCACCTCCTCATCATCACTCTCCC